AAACCGTTATTTATTTTAATAATGATGTATATATACAAAAAACATACTTCACGCACACATTACAGAAAAAAATATTGGTTACAATAATACAATAATAGATAGCAAGTATATGCGTGAGCGGCGCACGAGCAACTGGACCGTGTTTACCCGAACAAAAATAGATTGTAATTATATAAAATGATATGATATAAATTAATTTCATATGATCATATATAATAATATCTAAAATTTTACTGTGTTCATAACACAGATTATGATATTTGGAAGTCTTCTAAACTGTCACATACTATACAATCGCAGCTTCCAGGACATTATTTTTTATAGATTTACTAAATAGAACTACAAAATAGTATTAAATAAAACTAAATACTAAAATAATACTAAATAAAATTATTGAATAATACTAAATAAAACAGTCTGTTGCAATTTTTGAAATAGTTATTAAAATAACTAAGAAAATATTATAGATAGATTCAATTGTAACAATAAATTTATTCAATTTACATTAGTGTAGTTGTGAAAGTGTAAAGAATATGCTCAAGTGTGCATAACGAATTTAAAACATTATGTTTATAAAACGGCAGTGTCTAAAACTGTTTGTACAATAATGTTACTGCTAGGAGGACTTTAGATGTACTTGCAGAATCATTCCTGTAAAAAATTGTAAAATAGGTTGTATTGATAGAGCCTATATAGTTCGAATAGAAATCGGAAAGTTTCATAGTTGTATTTCTGCTGATTTGTTAGATTTTTTTTCGTGGATGGACGCATCGCATTTGCAATTGTTATACGCATTTGCTCTAGTTTCGTGAACAGATTTTTTTTGTATTAAAGATTAATTTCATTAACAATAAGAGATTATTAGGACGCAGATGTTCGCTAAAGTGAGGTAGCAAGTTGCTCGCTCTCACTCGCACTCACACGCTGCGGTTCTCCGCGCGCGACACGGGATCGTGCACGAACATTCACGTCCTATTCATTAGTGTATTAAGATATATAAAACAAATCCATATTCTCTAACAATGTTAATTAATCGTTTTTCATTTTGGAATATCATGCAACAAAGACTCAATTCTTTATTATTAGATCTATTGAAAATAAAATTGTCCTGGAAACTGCCATTGTATATGTTACA